GGAGTTCACAACCAGCCTGAGCAACACGGTGAAACCCTGCCTTTACAAAAAATAAAAAAAGTAGCCAGCCTTGGTGGCACATGCCTGTAATCCCAGCTACTCGGGAGGCTGAGGCAGGAGAATCGCTTGAACCCGGGAGGCGGAGGTTGCAGTGAGCCGAGATCCCGCCATTGCACTCCAGCCGGGGTGACAAGGCGAGACTCCATCTCAGAAAAAAAAAAAAAAAGATCGACCTTACGTTGGCAGCTGTTGACGACCTGACTGAGTGTGCTTTTGTGTCTGTGGGCTAGAGTCATAGCAGTGGGGTTGCCTTATTCATGATTTACGTTCATTTTGAAAGATGTCACCACATTGCTTTCCAGAAATTCAGTAACACCACTCCAGCAGCCCCTGGTGCTTTTCCACGTAAGCAAGAGGGGCTCCTGCCGTGGGCCCCGCACTTTAAGGACCTTCATATCATAAACACACAAAACAATTGACTTATTCCAGAACACATAGGACCCCTTTGTCACTCAACATTGGCACAGCTTGACCCATAACCCTAATCATTGCTCTTGTGACTAACACCATTCAGCCACCGAGGAAATCTCCACATCCCTTGCTCTGTGTCTTGGAAGCAAAAGGCACCTGAGTTCAAAGTTTGGGGGTAGTGCCACTGTTGACCTCAGAAATGGACACTGCTTTGGAGTGTGGGGAAAATTCAAACAGCAGAAGGACTTAGGTAAGAGAAAAAGACTAATTAATTAACTGGTGAAATAGATTCTTGCCTCACAAAGTATTATTTCCCTGTAGTGCCAGGTATCCATTTTCTTGCCTGTCTACGTGTTGGAATGTGTGGTTCTGAAGATTTTCACAGGGAGGGTTCTGTGGTGTAATGGTTAGCACGCTGGACTCTGAAGATTTTCATGAGTTCGTATAGTGTCTGCAGAAATTGCACATGGGGACTGTTACTTTTCAGTTTGTGTATGGGTAGGTCTAGAACAGCATCGTCCAATAAAAATACTGTGAGAGCCACAAATGTAATTTAACATTTTCTAGTGGCCACATCCACAGTGGCTCACGCTTGTAATCCCAGCACTTTGGGAGGCCAAGGAGGGTGGATCACATCTAAGGTCAGGAGTTCAAGACCAGCCTGACCAACAGGATGAACCCTGTCTCTACTTAAAATACAAAAATTAGCTGTGTGGTGGCGGGCACCTGTAATCCCAGCTACTCAGAAGACTGAGGCAGGAGAATCGCTTGAACCCAGGAGGCAGAGGTTGCAGTGAGCCGAGATCACGCCATTGCACTTCAGCCTGGGCAAACAAGAGTGAAACTTTGTCTCAAAAAGAAAAAAAGTGAAATTAATAATATATTTTATTTAACCATATGTATCCAAAATATCATTTCAACATGTAATGAATATAAGAAATTATGAAATGTCTTGCTCTTTTTTTATACTAAATCTTCAAAGTTTGATATGTTTTACACTTACAGTACGTCTCACTGAGAACAGCCACATTTAGCTAGCAGCCACTCAGTAGTCACATGTAGATGTAGCTTCTGTAAGTGCACAGCACAGGTCTAGACAGAACCTGTGTGAGAAAAACTGATAACAGAGAAAAACAAAAAGCACCTGTAGTTGCTAATTCTCCATGTTAGCAACTACATGGACGTTAACTATTAGAATTATGAATGGTTTTATTTTGATGAAAATATTTAAAAGATGTAGTTAATTTAAAAACTATAGTGTTAATTTTTAGCTTTTATGTATTGTATTTACTAATTATAATTCATGTTTTAATGTTAATAAAATTTTGTATATTTTATAATTACTTTTATAACTTTTTGGAAATTATATCTGCAAATTACTGGTTTTTTTCTTTTTTCTTTCTTTTTTTTTTTTTTTTTTTGAGACACCGTCACACTCTCTTGCCCAGGCTGGAGTGCAGTGGCACGATCTCGGCTCACTGCAACCTCTGCCTCCCAGGTTCTAGCAATTCTGCCTCAGCCTCCTGAGGAGCTGGGATTACAAGTGTATGCCACCACACCTGGGTAATTTTTGTATTTTTAGTAGACACAGGGTTTCACCATGTTGGCCAAGCTGGTCTCGACCTCCCACCACCACGCCTGGCTAATTTTTTGTATTTTTAGTAGAGACGGGGTTTCACCGTGTTAACTAGGATGGTCTCGATCTCCTGACCTCGTGATCCGCCCACCTCGGCCTCCCAAAGTGCTAGGATTACAGGTATGAGCCACCACGCCCGGCCAACTGTTTTTTTTTTTCTTTTTTTTTAGATTAGCTCTTTATTTTTTGATGAAAATACATTCTCATTTTTTATACTTTGGATATAATTACATTTTACTTTTAATCCCTTAGATTATTGAAAATGAGTATAAGTCAAGATTTTGGTAGAATAAGAATGCTAAAGTGGAGCTCACAAAAGAAAAATGAAAAAGGAAGTAAAAATCTTCAAAGAAGCAGGCTGCTTGCATTTTCCAACACTGGAAGCAATAAAAGTAAGCAGTCTTCTTCCAGGGTGACCCACATAAAATTCACTAACCAGACCTTACAAAGGTTTTGTTAAATGAAGATTTACTTGTTAATCAAAACAATGAAAATTAGTAAGAAAATTATTCTCACCAAATCCCAGTTTGAACAAGTCAGATGAAACCCTTTGTAACTTCATCTTCTTTACTAAAGGAAGATTTAATTGCTAATCTCAAAGAATCACACACAAAAAAACACATATCCAGTTACAGGAATTGAGGGAAAGGGGCCAAATAAACAGACAATTGATTTTACCGGAAACAGAACACAATGTAAAATACTGATGTAATATTCTCAAAAGAATAATACAATGTGTCTAATATTTAGCCAAGCCTAATCATTCTTTTCATGACACCATTAGTACAGTGTGTACAAAAAACAATGGAAATTTTCTAGGTTTAGTAAAAGAGAT